AAATAAATAAAATAAAATAAAATAAAATAAAATAATTGAAATCTGCTGAAAAGACAATCTGGCCCTTTATATCTACCCAGCATTAGTTGGGACTACAGAAAATCCAAGTTTATTCCTAAAGTGGGGAAAAGTGGTATGCTGTACTAGGTTTCTGTTGTACTGTACAAAAGTCCATGTTATTTCTGAATCCCTGCAGTAGTGCATATTGATCTTGCATTTAAGGTGTTGCATGTGGAAGAGATGTTTCAGAATCTTTTGTGCATTCTTTTACTCATCAGTGTTTGAGGAAGCAAGAAAGGTCACAGACCAAAGGTGTAGGTAAGCTGTCTCCAATAGTGGCTTACCAGATGAACTAAAAAGTTCTAGTAAAAAAATCTATGGTTTCTAAATATTGTTCACAGATGAATAAAGACTCCTTCAAGTCAAACTCATTTCCTGGTGATTGAACAGACACATCCATGGTTTGCCACTGCCTTTTTAGAGGATGTTCTTTTCAATTTCCCAATCCAGCCTATAGCTCTGGGATTCCGACTGTTTCTTTTAGAAAATGTGGTATGTGACATAAAACAATTCAATTAATAGTCACATTGCATGAACTTAATCTAAAGAAAACATTAACAGCTATATGTGTGTGCTTGGGCATGCATGTAAGCATTACTTTTAAATACTAGGATTCAGAATGCAGTGTCCTTATATAAAGACAAAATTAACACCCATCGGTGCATGTATTGCATAAATATATGTGTTTTAGAATTTCTGCAAGTTTAGAGCCCTTAAAACAGAACAGTGAATAAAATCACCTTCAGATTAATTGAATTATGGATCAGTACCAATACACAAGCTATCTTCAGCAATACACTTTCTATAAAAAGTTACTATTTCAAATAATTGTAATATTTAGACCTACTATCAAGTGAAGCAAGAAACACTATTATGCAGGAACTGTTGAAATCAATAAACAATTAAATGCTTATATGAATGAGGAGTTAAAACTATCGAAAATGTATTCAAGATGATGTGTTTTTAAGCATGCATTTCATCATCCAAACTCATTTTCCTCAAGTATATAATAGAGTATATGATTATCTTTCTATGTGAGCATTTTTGCGAAGATTCCTCTATGATGATGAACTTAAAATGGGAATAATCACAGAAAGTTTTAAATCAAAGCACAGTGTCAAAATAGATTCATGCAGTACAAGAGTTTTATAATTTACTATATTTCAGTAAAGCAAACAAAACAATAAACAGTAAGATTAGCTCAAGCAAATAGCTTCCAAGTATTCATAAAGAAGGCAGCTCCCTACCTCTGTTGGAAATCCAAGAACAAGAAATACTTTTAATTAAAAGTAGCATAAAAGAATTCTTTCTGCTTACCATCCACCAGACACAGAATGATATACAAGGCCAAACCAAGAATAAATTGTGTATCCCAGATTCACTGCCTCTCAAAATTTGGCACTGTCTGAAGCTTACATGAGAGTGACAAAGTCCTATAAAAACAGTCCAGTAAAAAAAAAAAAAGGGGGGGGGGGGGAAACCCCTGCCCTAGATATTGTACTTTCCATCCCTCTCATTTTCTAAATTCGTGTGC